GGGCGGGCGGCTGCCGTGCGGGGCGAGGGGAGCCGGCCAGAGCGCGGCTCATGGGCAGACGGCTGCGGCCGAGAGCCGGAGTTGTGTCGCACTGACGGCAGTCACGCCGCGCAGCCCTCGGGAAGGAGGGGATTTGCGACACCGAACTGCAGACTCAAAAAGTGGGGAAAAACCCAGCCCGGCTGAATTTTGTGCCATTTAACACCGGGGTAATTACCACCAGTGGGAACCTACCGCCCACACAATTATGTGCTAGGATAAACTGGAAGAGCATAATTACCATTACAAATAACTTACTTCTTGCCTTTATTGCATCCGAAGCCTGGAGAAACTCCCACCAGCAATTCCCCACCCTGCCACCTTCCCTCTGGCGCCTGCTCCCGCCGCATCTCTCCCCGCCATGAGGGTCAGCACAGGGAGGAGAGGGGCCCATAAGCCCCCCCAGCACTGGGGACCACACCAAAATTCAGCCCCCTCACTTAATTTTCCTTAGGGACGCTCGGCAGAGGTGGTTCTGCTTCCCGGCAAACCGCCCTGGCGCAGGGCAAAGCTGGGCTTTCCAACATTCCCAGGTCAAATCCCGAGAGCTGGGGCCGACGGCGCCGTGCCCAGGGGGTCCTGGCCCCCCACCCTTCCCACGCAGCCCCCGCCGCAGGCAGCCCGTGCCGGTGTCCCGGCAAAGCCCGTCGGTGGCACTTACCGCCCCGCGCTCAGGGGGATGCTGTCCTCATGGCCCCGGCGGCGGCGGCGGCTCCTCCACGCTGGGTGTCCCGGGGGCAGCAGGCTCTGGGGGAGAGACACGAGGGGGATGAAGCCCAGGGAGGAAAAGCAAGGGTGTTCCTCCCCCAAAACAGCCTGACCCCCACTCCCCGTGTATTTTTTTAGCAGCTCAGCCTTCCCTCCTCCCCCGAGGCCACCCCGTAGGCAGCGCTGCCTGCACCGGTAGCGACGGGAACGGCTCCGCACGGCCGCAGACACGTGTTTCGCCCAGCTTAGCCCCAAAACCATCCCCAGCCCCATCCTCTTATGCAATTCCCTGCCAGCGGGCGCCGGAGCCGGCCCAGCGGCCACCTTGCCATTGACTTTGATTTGCTCTGGATCCAGCCATATGCTCCACAAAGCCTCCTCCCGCCACCCCGGCTTGCTGGTGCGAGCAAAGGGATTTTTTCCCGGCCGCCGGCCCGGCAGAGGCGCGAGCTCGGCCCGTTCTGCTTTGCAAATTAGCACGAGGTTTTGCCAGCGCGGGTCCTGCTGGGGATCTTTATGGCTGGGGATGAAAGCAGGAGAGAACAAACACGCAGCGTGAGCGCCCGGCACCGCGCGCAAGCTGGAGCCTGGGAAAAAAAAAAAAGAAATTAAAAAAAAAAATAAAGTGGTCTTCCCACTTAGGAGCTGAGCAAATTTGATCTGCAGTCGTCGGAAGAAAATAAATATGGAATAACGCCAGGTCGTTTTCACCGCGCTTTTAATCTATTTACTTTTTCCCAACTCATTGTAAGCAAGAAGGTTTGTGGAAAGCAAACATTTTATTTTATTACTAATTGCTCTGTTATTTTATTAGGCTGTATTAGTAAAATTTACTCAGCCTGGGGAAAGAAAAAAAAAAAAAGAGGGGCTTAGTAAGAGATCGCCTAATTTAGTACGTAATTCTGCGCCGAGTCATTATTTTCTTAAAAGGTGAATTAGCTGAAAGCAGTTCA